CTGGACGGTTATGACTTCATCTTCGGTAGGGATTGGCTACGGACGGTTAGTACTCAGTTCGATTGGGCTCAGGGAAGCTGCAGCGTCAAGGTAGACGGGGAGTTCCGGGAGCTGCCACAGTGGAGTGATGGGGCCACATCATCCACAGCTATCATCAATGCTGTTCGTGTGCGGCAGCTGGTGAAGCGTGCGGCACGGATCTTCGCGGTTTTCCTTGAGGAGGTGGAAGCTGAGGAGGGGAAAGGAGGGAGTGCAGCAGTTGGTGAGAAGGCGACTCTTCCTGCTGAGGTGAGTGCACTGTTAGCAGAGTTCGCAGATGTCTTCCCCGACGAGTTGCCCCCAGGGTTACCTCCTAGCCGAGCAGTCGACCATCGAATAGAGTTGGAGCCGGGGAGCAGGCCAGTAGCGAAGCCGCAGTGGAGGTTAAGTCCAGCAGAGACAGAGGAGATGACGCAGCACGTTAGGCACTTTCTAGCGCAGGGGTTCATACAGCCATTTAGATCGCCTTGGGCAACACCGATCCTTTTCGCGCCTAAGAAAGACGGAGGGTTACGGATGTGCATAGATTACCGCGCACTGAACGCCGCCACCGTCAAGAACAGATTCCCAGTGCCGAGAGTAGAGGATCTCCTAGATGCAGTGCAGGGCGCTAGAGTCTTCTCAAAGATCGACCTTCGTTCAGGATATCACCAGATTCGAGTAGTTCCGGAGGATCAGGACAAGACGGCATTTCGTACGAAGCAGGGGTTGTACGAGTTTAGGGTTCTACCGCTCGGTTTGACCAACGCCCCAGCGACGTTTCAGACGCTCATGAACACCGTCCTCTCCGAGTTCCTAGGTTCGTTCGTAGTAGTCTACCTAGACGACATCCTGATCTTCTCCAAGACAAAAGAGGAGCACGTGCAGCACTTGCAGAAGGTCTTCGAGGTCTTGCGGAAGGAGTAGTTGTACGCCAAGCAGTCGAAGTGCGAGTTCTTTCTCCCCGAAGTCGAGTTTCTAGGTCACGTCGTATCTGCTAGTGGCATTAGGACCGACCCGAAGAAGATCGCAGCAGTACAGGACTGGATAGCTCCGACCTCAGTCAAGGAGTTGCAGAGCTTTCTCGGATTCGCGAATTACTACCGTCGTTTCGTTCAGGGTTACGCATCGATCGCTAGTCCACTCACCGACCTACTTCGGAAGGGCGTAGATTTCGATTGGGGTCCAGCGCAGCAGCAGGCGTTCGAGCAGATGAAGCAGTCGCTCACGTCTTCACCGACACTGTCGTACCCAGATCCCACTCGCCCGTACGTTGTAGTGACCGACGCATCAGAACGAGCCATTGGAGCAGTGCTTCTTCAGGACCAGGGGCGCGGGTTGCAGCCGATCGCGTACGAGTCGCGTAAGCTGAGGGGGGCCGAGCTGAACTATCCGATTCACGACAAGGAGGCGCTCGCGATCATCCATGCGTATAAGGTGTGGAGGTGCTACCTAGAGGGGGCAGATAGTGTTATACGCACGGACCATTGCTCGCTTCGCTTCCTCAAATCGCAGCCGCAGCTGAGTCGTCGCCAGGCTAGATGGATGGAGTTCATGGAGGGGAGTTTCCACTACAGGATAGAGTACAAGCCAGGCGTTCGCAACCCAGCAGATCCACTCACTCGCCCTAGTTGCCAGCTCGCTAGTCTCACAGTCACTGCCGGCCATCCACTTCTCACAGCACTCTTCGAGCACGGTTACACAGTAGATCCCGACTTCACACCGCAGCCGCCCGCAGGAGCAGAGGTGCAGGGTAGTGTCTACATTCGGAAGGGTACAGCACGGATTTGGGTTCCCGCCTACCGCCCTCTTCGACAGCTCCTTCTTTCCGAGGCGCACGATGTCGTTAGTGCAGGTCACTTCGGAGCAGATAAGACGGCTAAGACGCTTAGTCGCACGTACTTCTGGCCAGGGCTTCCAGCAGACGTAGAGGATTACATTCGCTCGTGCGACACGTGTCAGCGTACGAAGTCCTCTCGCCAGCGCAAGGCGGGACTTTTGCAGCCGATTCCACCACCCGACCGCCCTTGGCAGGTAGTTACGATGGACTTCATCATGGCTTTACCGCGCACAGTTAGGGGTCACGACGCCATCTTCGTGGTAATGGATAAGTTTTCTCGAGCAGCACACTTCATCCCCACGCATGGCAAGGTCACAGCAGAGGAAGCCGCGACGCTGTTCGTAGATAACGTAGTCCGACTGCACGGGGTTCCAGATTCCATCATCTCAGACCGCGACCCTCGTTTCACTTTGAAGTTCTGGAAGCAGCTTTTCGCACTGTTTGGGACTCGCTTAGCCATGTCGTCTGCGTACCATCTAGAGACAGACGGACAGACCGAGCGTGTGAACCAGACCTTGGAGCAGATTCTTCGCAGCATCACGATGCACGACGCAGCCGCATGGGACAAGAAGCTGAGCATGGCCGAGTTTGCCTACAACAACACGCACCACTCGTCCACAGGCATGTCACCGTTCTTCGCACTGTACGGTCAGCACCCCAATGTCCCCACTCGTGTCGATCTCACACCCACAGTCCCTCGTGCGGACAACTTCCACCAGCATATCACCTTCATTCATGATCACGTGAGGAAGCACCTTGAGCTCGCAAATGCACGCATGGCACGCACCACCAACTGCAGTCGTCGTGAGGTGTCGTTTTCAGTCGGCGACCGTGTTCTTTTGGATAGCCGCAACCTCCGACTGCCACAGGACAGCAAGCTCCGCCCACGCTTCATTGGTCCATTTGTCATCGAGCGCGCACTTGGTCCAGTCGCATACCGCCTTCGCCTTCCCGCTCATTTCCGCATGCACCCGTCATTCCACGTGTCTCTTCTTCGGCCTTACACCGATCCTAACACCGCATTCTCGGGCCGTGATCGCAATCCACTGCCGGTAGCTGTTGACACCGACGAGCCCGACTACCAGATCCAGCGCATCCTCAGGCACCGACGCCGTCTCCAGGGGGGTGTCTCCTTCATCGACTTCTTGGTTCGTTGGCGTGGTTACGACGCAGCAGACGACAGCTGGGTTCCTTCGTCCTCACTGTCTCATGACAACGCTTACCTCCAAGCGTACCTTCAGTCTGCAGGCGCCGCGGACGTCGCCTCCTTGGGAGGGGGGTAGTGTTACAGGGGGTTTTACTGTTCATCCAGAACAGTACTTCCCAACCTTATCATCATCCTATCTTTCCAGATTTCCTAGTGCCACGTGGCACTCTACTCTTCTTGCCTTACAATTCTAGTCCCACGAAGTACTTTCCGACATTCGACTTTGCATGCTATATCAACCTTGCTTGTATTCCCCAATATCAATCAATTCTCATTCAACTCTTCAATTACTCATTTACCTCTTCGCCTATTTCGCCAACACTCTCTTTCGCCAAAGTCTTCCGCCGCGTTTATCCTCAATTTAGTCAACCCCGCTATTCCTTAGCGGATTTAGGCCAAGGGGCCTAACACAGCTGACACTGGCAGTGTAGTCGAATGAACCTTTCAGTTCAGGGATTACAGGAACAGTAGTAGAACAGAGGGGGAGGGCTGTTTAGAAATCGGCCTGCGTGGTTTCTGGTTTCGGGATTTCGCGAAACGAACTCCCCTCGATTTTTGTTCGCAGAGGCGAAATGGTTTCGTCAAACCCGAAACCTGTGAAACCGGAACCAATTTGTACTGTACAACCTGGCAAGCCAGAAAGTAACCGTGGTTGATTATTATTAGGTCATGGTGAGTCGTTCGTGACCAACAAGCACACAACTGCTGGGCATGACCTAGATAGATACAAGAAATAGGCACGGTCCGAGATTAGTTCATGGTGTACACTACTGTCATTGCATGACCTAGAGCAGCTGTATCCCGCAAAGCCAAGTCTATCCGCCGTATGCCTCGTCGCCGCGCCACTTGTCAAGTGGCGTGGATTTGCCTTCCAGAGTCCTATCTGTAGCAGTAAGGTCGCAGGGCATGTGGTGTGTCGGACTCAAAAGGCGTGCCTCCTACTACGGAATCATTTGGTACCATGGGATTCCTACGGTCGTCGTTCCTTCACACCAGGTTAGGTTCGGTGCACTACGGCCGCGCGGCCGTCAGCCGAGTCGGGCAACCGAGCGCCGAGCCACACAACCGAGCCGAGCCACACAACCGAGCCAAGCCACCGAGCGCCGGGAGTCATCATCCGAAGACTCGCAGCATCACGAGTCGTCGCCTCGACTCGCAGCATCACGAGTCGTCGCCTCGACTCGCTTCGTAGTTCCAACTTACTCGCCCCACGTTGCTTTTCTCAAGGAGTATTTTCACTCACCCATTCCCGCAGTTCCTTTCTCAGACCAGTGAGCAGCGAGTGCGTCTGGTACTGCTAGTAATAGGTCTTGGCTCACCACACGTACAGCCGACCCAGTCCCCTTCCGCGCAGCATCTGCAGCGCAAATGGCCGCCTCGCGACGGGCCGTCACGCAAGGGCGCGGCGGCAGCTTGAAGTTCTCCGCCGCGGGGCTTCTTCCCGTGATGCTCCTCCTCGCATTGCTGCTCCAAGCTCCCCCCGCGTCCGCCCGCCGCTGGTTCTGGAACGACGCCCGTCGCCCCAACGGGGGAAACGAACCCCGCCGCCACGCTCGCTGCCGCGGAGACCGACGGAGCGGCGGCGGCGGCTGCCGCGGCGCCAGCCCCGGCAGCGCCGGCTCCTGCTCCTGCGGAGACGTGCGACGACGCGCCTGTGGACCCTTTCGTCGCGTCCGGAGCCGCGCCCGACCCGTGTGCTGCGCTGGCGGCAGAGCTGAAGCGCACTGCGGGAGAATTGGGGAACAAGACTGGAGGGCAAGGATTCGCGGCTCCTTCTCTCTGCCGCGCGTGCCACTCCACGTTCCTGTTCAGGTACGGTACCGCACTGTACCGCTGCTATTCATGTACTGTGATGAGTTGTGTCTGTGTCTGTGTGTGTGTGTGTGTTTTTGTTTTGTTTTTTGCTCTCTCTTATCCACGCTTGCTGGGGCTCAAATGTGTTGGCCTGATTTCCGGTTCTACTGTTGCCACGGTCGGTCTCCCACTGGCAGGAAGAAGTGCGACGGGGCGGACCTTCTGTCGATCGCGAACGCGTTTGACAATCACTACGTGTACAAGCACATCGCCGTGGACTCGCCGGACCAGACCAACCTGCCGAGCAGCATCGATGTTGTCGCGGAGCTTCGGAAAATCGTTGCGAACGGCGAGAAGGGGAAGTACGCGCGGCTGGTGGACGCGCACATGGCGGCGTACACAGCGACCCTGGCGCTGAATGACGGCCACAGCATGTTTTTGCCGCGTTGCTTCGTTGGATCTTACAACCTGCCGTTGCCGCTCGTGGCTGTCGTCGAAAACGGGCAGCAGGTCATTCGCGTTGCGCCACGCCGATGTGAGTGTTCGGCACTCTTTCTGTTTTGCCTTATGTTAGAAAGTCTGTTAGCAGCCGTTTTAATGTCAGAGCAGAAGTACACTTGTTTCTAAAAGCGATGTGTAAAGTGTAGAAATTTACCCTCTTATCGATGCCCTCTGTCCATCAGATGTCACTCCTAAGGGTATGCGACATGTTGCAAAGGCTCTGCACAATTTTGACTTTGACCTTTACGAGGGCCGACAGGTATGCTGCAGAGTAACCAAAGTCAATGTCTATGCCAATCAGGCAACTGGTTCGTTTGAATGCCTCCTGCTAGCGAGCTTTACACAACACACCCACTCTGCAAATTCCTTTCGAATGCTTCGTGTGACGTTGCAGGTGGTGGGTATTAACGGGGAGAAGGCGGAAGGTTTCATCCTGAATTGGGCCGACAAGAATGTGGGCTCCTTTCGCAATCGCGCCGCGCGATTCACGAAATCCTTTGCGAGGAATGAGGCGGAGGGGACTCTGAAAGGGACGAGCATCGTCCAGGTGCCAGGCAGCTTCGCGCGGACATCCTTGGCTCCCGAAAACGACACCTTACTGGTGTCCTTAGCAACCGCGTCAGTGACTGGCACTCGGTGCTTGACTGTCTCTTGCTGTTGCTTTGCGTGTCGTTTACTCCTTGCTTCTTGCTTGCTCGTCTCACCGTACTTGTATTCCTCTTCAGCTGCCCTCCAGCTTAACCTCCGTGCTGCACTCTCTGCACCTCCCAGGGATAAATCGTCAACGGAGGACGTACAGGTGCCATGGATCGGGACAGCTAAGCTTGCTGCCTTTGCGAATGCCACGGGGTTCTGGGCGAGTTCCTGTGCCGTACCGAAGCCATCAGCTGCTGCCACTGGCGGCACCAGCGCGCAGGCAAGCATGCTCGCTGGAGATGGCAGCGCGCATGCAGACATTCCGATGATGGACAGGTTTCTCAAACGCCACCCTGATCCAGTCTACTACGGCGATACCAGCGATGGCAGCGACGACCTGAATGTCGAGATTGCGTCGCTTTCTGCTGTGGCAGACGGCTCTTCTGGTGCAGTAGCGGGGCTGACTGTAACGAGGATTTCGCCGACGACTGATAATTATCTGGTGAGCGGGATGGCTTCAGTCGTTGGGGTGAATGGTGGATGTTGTGTTTATTCTTGCATGATGGGTGCTTGGGTCTTATCTAGTTGTTATCTAATGACGCCAGGGGCGTGCCGTTTGTGCCGGTTGGTTGGTGTGTGTCATCTAGGGGCTTGCGTGTAACAGCAACCGACTGCCATGTGATATGTTCTGATCTGATCCGTTTTTATCTGATTTGATCTGCTTTGAGGCGCCAGCCACACTAATGCGAACCTGTAACGCGTGTCCAACTTGTTTGTTTATGGGTGTGGTTGTGCACATACGTGTGCATGTGTGCATGTGTGCATGTGTCCTTGTGTGCATGTGTCCTTGTGTGCATGTGTCCTTGTGTGCATGTGTGCATGTGTCCTTGTGTGCATTTGTCCTTGTGTGCATGTGTGCATGTGTGCATGTGTGCATGTGTGCATGTGTGCATGTGTCCTTGTGTGCATGTGTGCATGTGTCCTTGTGTGCATTTGTCCTTGTGTGCATGTGTGCATGTGTGCATGTGTGCATGTGTCCATGTGTGCATGTGTCCTTGTGTGCATGTGTGCATGTGTGCATGTGTCCTTGTGTGCATGTGTGCATGTGTGCATGTGTGCATGTTTGCATGTGTGCATGTGTCCATGTGTCCATGTGTGCATGTGTCCATGTGTCCATGTGTGCATGTGTCCATGTGTGCATGTGTGCATGTGTGCATGTGTGCATGTGTGCATGTGTGCATGTGTTCGTTCATGTGTGCATGTGTGCATGTGACCATGTGTGCATGTGTCCATGTGTGCATGTGTGCATGTGTGCATGTGTGCATGTGTGCATGTGTGCATGTGTCCATGTGTTCATGATTGCATGTGTGCATGTGTCCATGTGTGCATGTGTCCATGTGTCCATGTGTGCATGTGTGCATGCGTGCATGTGTGCATGTGTGCATGTGTCCATGTGTGCATGTGTGCTTGTGTGCATGTGTGCATGTGTGCATGTGTGCATGTGTGCATGTGTGCATGTGTGCATGTGTGCATGTGTGCATGTGTGCGAGCAGGTATACCTGGTGGGAGGCAGCACGGCAGTGGTCTGGATTCACCAGTTCCTTCCCAGCGATGCGGTGTCAAAGGCGCTGGCGGAGAAGAAGGTCAACGCGGAGAAGTACATGGTGCAGGAGGTCACCAAGGCTCTCCAAACCGCTGCAGCGTTAGTACTACCCTCCTGCCTGCCCCCCATTCTTCTACTCTATTACACCTCTCCCGCCCCCCTTCCTTCAACTACCCCAAGGCTCCACTTAGAAGGTCGATGTGGGGAAGTGCATGGTGCAGGAGGTGATGGTGGGGAAGTGCATGGTGCAGGAGGTGATGGTGGGGAAGTTGCAGTGTATTTGCAGCGTTAGTACTCCTCTCCACCTCCCCCCTACCTTCCCCACTCCTTCTTCCACTCTACTACCCCCTCCAGCCCCCCTACCTTCCCCACTCCTTGTCCACTCCTACCGTCCCCACTCCTTCTCTCATGCTAGTTCCCTGTTCTCAACTCATCATTCACCTGACCTTTTATCGTCATCACTTCCCCACTCATTTGCTACTTGCCCTTTCCCATGCCACTTTCCATGTCTCTTCCCTTGAATCTCCCATGCGTTCCCCGAAACATCCTCCCATGTGTTCCCCCATGTCCTCCCCCATGCGTTACCCCATGCCTGTCCGCATGTGTGCCCACATCCATCATCACATGGAACCAATTCAGATCCAACGCCTCGCAGATCATCATAGACGTGCGGGGCAACGGTGGCGGCTACACCACAGCAGCATACACAGCCATCCGCCTCCTCATGGGGGCAGCAAAGGTCCCCGACTCCGAGTTTACCCTCCCCTTGGATTTCGTCATCGGCAACCAGTACACTGAGAATGCCATCAGCCTGCTTTCCATCGACCCGGCAACGCAATACTGCATAGGAGTGTACGCCGACCTCAATGGGACCGACCTCTCAAGCGCGCTTCACTTCGCTCCTATCCGCGAGCTCCGCTTCACAGAGGCCGGCCGTGCGGGGAACTACTCGGCGCTGTTGAAGCAAAACAAGAAGTTTACCGGGAAGGAGCAGCAGCCGGTGTTTGGCGACCGCCCCTTCCTGGTCCTGTCGGACGGAAACTGCTTCTCCTCCTGCGGCATCCTCACGCACGTGCTGGGGAAACGCCACAAAGTACCCATGGTAACCGTGGGTGGTTTGCCCAATCAGCCCCCTGATGTGGGCTCCTCATGTATTGGGTTTACCGAACATAGCATCTATTCGATGGCACCAGGCCTCACCAACCTCGCTGCCCTAATGCCACAGAACGCGTCGCTGCCTCTCAAGGTGAAAGGGGCAGTTGGCATGGCGTTTACCAACGGGTATGTGGATTCGGAGATTCCGTGCGAGTTTGAGTTTCTGCCCAGCCAGCATCACATCAACTACACCGTTGACCTCATTGACAAGCCCTGGGCCTTGTGGACTGAGGTGGCCAAGCTCTTTGCCTCCGCTGCAGCCTAGTTCATGCCCTTCCGACGTGTAGTGTTTGCTTATGCTGGTGGTGGGTAGTTATCATGTTGATGTTGGTTATGGTGATGGATGGTGGCCAGATGTGCTTGTGTTTATGAGGGTGATGTGTGCTTGTCATGCACTTGAAATCGATCTACCTATTTCATCATGATGTATGAGCTGTTTTTCATGTATCATCCAGGTTGCATAGGTGGTACTGTAGCTGTGGCTGATTTGTCCTGAATGAGATTGAGGCTCTTGGCTGAACAGCACCATTCCATAAACCTCCTGCAACTTGGAGATGTTCACAGGAAGATATCTTGCTGGGTTTCGCACCGGGGTTGCATTGGGGTCGGTTGCACTGGGGTTGCACTGGGGTTGCACTGGGGTTGCACTGGGGTTGCACTGGGGTTGCGCTGGGGTTGCGCCGGGGTTGCACCGGGGTTGCTCTGGGGTTGAGCACTGGGGTGGTGCAACATGCCACCATACCATGCTGCAGAGGGCAAACAGGGAAGACAAGCAAGGAGGGAAGCAGGGAGGGCAAGCAGGGAGGAGAAGACTGTTGGAAATACAAAGCATAAGGAAAGTAATATGCTGTTAGGTTTTAGTCTAATCCTCTATATAAGCCTCTAGGCCCTACAATAATTGTACAATTATTGTAGGGGCTGCATTATTGGAGTCTAGAGGTTTGGGGGTAGAATTATTGGTACTCCATTATTGGAGGTACAATTATTGGTGTGGATGGATGGGCTGTGGGCAGGGTAGCTGCATGGATAAATATCCTGATGTGTGCTTTCATTATACATCCATTGTTCTGAATCCTTTCAGTTGCAAGTTTCTCTTGCTATCTATTCTACAATCAAGGCTTCCGCTACGACGACACTATGCCTTTCTAGCATGGTATCAGAGGTACTCTAGGGGGCATGCTGCCGAAACTTGGTCAGAACTCTGTGATCATTCATATTGGGCAGGCACATTAGCAGATTGGCATAGCAAGAGGCAACTATTGGATCAAGGCATGGCGCTGTTCGACAATGAAGTCGACGCTGGATACGAGGCGTTTGAAGAAGCAATCCTGGCTCAACATGAGCACCTGGAGAATATGATTGCAATGGCACCACCAACACTTCAAACGTCATTGAGAGCAAAGTTTAACATGCAAATTGGTGAAGGGAGTGGCAAATTTGATAATGTGGGCGTGGAAGGTGTAGGACTTGGGTCCTACGCTATTAGTGCTTCCCCACTACGACGTCTTGCCACTAACGTTCATCCTCTTGGAGTTTTCGCAATGGGCAGATCTCACCTTTATGGCGACAACATCGTACCTCCTCGTGCGCCTCGTCCATAAAAGGGAGTGGATCTTGCATGGAGCATGGAGCGCACGGGACACATGATACAGTCAAGCGATGTTATGCGAGGTGATCGCGTGGATGTGGTGGAACATCACCTCTACGATCAAGACGGCGGGACGCAACGCATGGCTGGTCAAGCTCGCAGAATCAACTCACATGAAAAGGAGAGTATCGGGACCAAGGATGACCAGATTGCAGCAAAGTCAAATGGAAGGCAGCAAACGACAAATGGAGAGAAAATGAAGGACAATGACGGAATGGACGGACGCTCGACTCTCGTGTGCTGGTTTTGCAAGCAACCGGGCCATCCGTTCTATAAGTGCCACATGGCACCACCAGGATGGTCACCACCGTGGTGGGAACCACAAAACAAAGGGAGGGTCAACCAACGCAACAACAACTGCCGTTCGACCTTTCCCCGAAGGAGTGGCAGCCCCAAACGTGACAACAACGCGACTATAAAGGAAATGGCTACCGGGAGAGACAACAAACGGACGGTTACATGCATTGCGACGGTTTGATCATCACAAGCGACCTCACCAAGCGCGGGAGGTTCTCTATGGTTGCTGGACAGTGGATGCAGCCAACACATGACTTCGGAGAAACAATGGTTTGAATGTTTGAAAGAGTTGGACAAACCAGTACAAGTAGAACTTGCTGATTGGAGCACTCTGAACAGCTCAATGGTGGGCACGATCAGAGTAACAGCACCCGATGGGACAACAGTTCGATACACGGAAGTGCTCTATGTACCCGGTTTGAAGAGCAACCTCCTCTCCTTCTGTCAGCTGCTGAAAAAGGGAGCTCGGATAAACACAAATGCTGATGGCGACACCGAGATCTCCATGCCTGATGGAGATGGGGGTGTACGGATTGGGCTAGGCAAGAACGTGCATGGAGTGCTCATGGTGGAATATGAGCCAGCACTTGCTTTTGCCCATGGATCTGGACATACTCATGAGGATACACCACCGAAAGCAAATGGTCACGGAGGATTGAATGGTCAATCTGCTTATGCATCCGTCACCTATCGTATCGCGCACATGGCTTGTGTCGTAAGGGACACGGCACGTGATGTTGACAAGGACTCACTGCGCACCTTTGATGATATGCTGCTGGACGCTGGGACTTTGCTTGAAAACTAGAAGCACGCGGATGAAGTCTCACCCCACGTTGCGGTGTTGTCTTCAGGGGGAGAAGGACAAAGGTTCGCGGTGGATGAAGGAGACTCTACAGAAAAAAACCTTACCTGGAGCTGATGAAGACAAAGCAACCAAAGGAAGGGGAGGTGCTGCGGCAGATGACTTGCCTGCGGCTACCGTCATCACCCGGATATAAGACATATATGTCTTATCTTGTACACGGGCAAAAATGCTTGGGTTGTCTTGTATTTGGGACGGTTTAGGGTGTCTTATAAGTCTTATAAATGGACAAAGAACCGTTTAGAAGATACCCCCTCGTTATACAATTGCCCCTAACCCCTACACTGGCTTAACTCGTACACACAAATAGGTGTCTTATAATGAGGCTACCCCGTTTATAAGAGACACCCGGATAATAGACAGCCCCTGTCTTCTATTCAACACTGTCTTATATCCGGGTGATGACGGTAATGTTTCTGTACCAGTGGAGGATAAAGATGATGCTGGAAGCAAGATGGGATATGCAACGAGGGTGCGCATGGCTGACATGGCATGCAAGAAGGCAGAAGACACGACTAAGGACCAGCCCGCACCTGCCAAAGGACATGACATCACCTGCAGCCGCCTGTGCGGCGTCCAACGGATTTCACCTGGTGCAGCACTTGCAAAGGGTCGACAAGTCAATGGTGCTGATGCAACACTCACATATGCGGGCTTCTTGAGATGTGCTGCACAACTGAATGTCACTTAACTCCACACACCTCACTCGTGTGTTGGCAGCAATGAGCAAGCTCGCAGACACGAGTGAGAGGGGGAGTGGGGTGTGGAGTTTCTAGCAGAGCAACCAAGCAGGTTTCGGGAGTTCGTTCTCACTTTCATTTCTGAAGTTCATCAACAAGCCAACAAGGGGTCAAGTTCATGAGACGACCTACTGTTCCATCAGCAAACAAGACAAGGGGTCACTGATGCTGCTGTCGTGTGCTAGCAGCTGCTGCTGCAATCGGTCAACACTTGCTGAAGTGCTCCAGCTGCTGCTGTCCACGGGCAGCCGATGCTACAAGGGTACCTGCTGGTTTCAGGGGGAGTATAACAAGACAACACGGGTTAAATCATACTTGGCATGATCCAAGACGAGGGAGTTCAACAAAGCACAAGAGCAGGAAGCAAGCCACTGCTGGTGCACGCGTGGGGGGACTGCATGAGATGCAGCCACCGGTCTGCCAGCTTACCATGGAGCAGCTGCTGCTGGTCGTGCAGGACGACAGCTGCTGGTGCTGCAGTTCGCCAAGTGCTGGTGGAGGGCGTCAGACACTGCTGGTGCTGCTGCCGCCTGCCAGGAGCTGCTGGTGCTGACGGAGGCCAGGTGCTGCCATGCGCCTGCAGCCGTCCGCCTCCGCTACTGCCGTCGCTGCTGTGTGCAACCGGGTGTTGCTGGTGCAGGCACAGGCCGCCAGCTGTTGCTGTTCGCCAGCTGCAGCTGCTCCCGTGCGCCTGCTGGTGTGAAAAAGGGGGGAGCATCACAAGTGGAAGCAGGCATGACTGACTCTGCATTCAGAACAAGACAAGGCATTACGAGGTGTAAGGCACCATGGCATGAGGCAGGGGGAGAAAGCTGGAGCCTCAGGTGTTGCTGGCGAAGCTGGTACTGCTACAGTGCACCACCGGCCGCGGATGCTCGCGTCACCAGCTTGTGCGCCGCTGCTGCCGGGCGTCATGGGGAGCTGCAGACGGCCAGGTGCTGCTACTGCCGCCATCTGCTGCAGCAGGCCAGATGTTGCTGCAAGCGGCCAAGTGATGCTGCAGGCGGGCAGGAAATTATGCGGACGCCATGGTCAGGTGCGGTTCGCCAGTCGCCAGCCGCTGCTTCCATGTGCCACCTGGTGGATGGGGGAGATTGAGAAGGCATGACGAGGTCTTACGAGGAACAAGAGGCAGCAGAGGCATGCAAGGGGAAAGCCAAGGTTTGTCACCATAAGTGCTGCTACAGTTACTGCTGCAGATGGTGACAAAATAAACGCATGAGAGAGGAAGTGCTTCATCCGGAGGAGTTGATGGTCGACAGTAGTGTACCATTGTGCCGGTCGACAGCTCCTGCTGCAACCATGCGCCGTCCGCCACAGCCATCAGTTGTTGCTGCCAAGAGCTGTTGCTGCCGCCAGGTACTGCTGCAGGCCGTCAGGTGGTGCTGCAGCCGTGCGCCGCCAGCTGCTGTTACCAAGTGCCACCATCCGTTGCAACAGCTCGCCAGCTGCAGCCGTTGTCAGTGCGTGGGCTGCTGAAATCGCGAACATATCTGCTGCAGAATGTCGCACGCGCTGCAGTCGCGCTCAGGAGCAGTCACGCGCGACATGCAGCAGCACGCTCCGCGCCAGAGCGGCATGCTGCTGCTGAGGACGTGTGCCAGCAGCAGTCGCGTGCCTGGGTGTTGCAACAGCACGCGAAGAAGCTACAAATCGATTTCCTAAATGCGACTGGGCGAAAATCAGAGAGTTTCGCCATGACTGAATGGAATTGGGCAGCAGCGGCAGCCATGGCTAGAGTTAACAACGCTCAGAAAACTGGATATGGGTGGGAAGGTCAGCCCTGAGTGAACGAGATCTGTTGGAAACGAGAGTGACGAGCTAGAGAAGGAGACGCATCAATCGATCTGGGACAGGAGTGTGACTCGATGTGACGAAACCCTAAACGGGGGGGGGGACGGAAACAGTGTGGAGCGGAAGGTTGGAACGGAATTGACGAGATTGGAGGCAAGGAGCAACACAAGAAGCGGAACGTGCGGCAAACCAAAACAGTTACCGCACGTCACGTCCGCAATCATCGGAATCAACGCGTCCGTAACTTCACACCCTAGCGTAAGGTTGGTTTTGTGGTGAACCACCTTATCCCCTCCATCCTCCACAAGACATGAATCACTAAAACTAACAGCAAGGGGGAGTGTTGAAAATACAAAGCATAAGGAAAGTAATATGCTGTTAGGTTTTAGTCTAATCCTCTATATAAGCCTCTAGGCCCTACAATAATTGTACAATTATTGTAGGGGCTGCATTATTGGAGTCTAGAGGTTTGGGGGTAGAATTATTGGTACTCCATTATTGGAGGTACAATTATTGGTGTGGATGGATGGGCTGTGGGCAGGGTAGCTGCATGGATAAATACCCTGATGTGTGCTTTCATAATACATCCATTGTTCTGAATCCTTTCAGTTGCAAGTTTCTCTTGCTATCTATTCTACAATCAAGGCTTCCGCTACGACGACACTTATGCACAAGCACAAGCAAAGCTAGAGGTTGTCACAGAGGGCAAGTGAGGAGGAGGAGGGACTGTGAGAGGAGAGGAGATGGGAGGCGACGGCTGAAGCTTCAGACACACAGGCAACAGGAGCGGCTGGCACGGTGGCTACCGGAGCAAGGGCCCCGGACTACTGGAGTAACTGGCTCCGCGGCTAAGACGAGCGGCAGGAGCAACGGACCCACGGGCGACTGGCGCAGCAGGCTCGCTGGGCTACCGGAGCACGCCGGCTCCGGACTACTGGCGCTGCTGGCGACACGACGGCTACCTCCGCTCAACCTCCTCCACTGTCGCAGACCCCCTTTCACACACCCCCCTATGCACCCCTAGCTCCACTCCCACGGCACCCCCTAGCGCGACTCCCTCGACTCTCACACATCCACCCCCCTCAGCGGCAGCTGTAGCAGTGGGAGAGAGAGGAGGAGGAGGAGCAAGGGACGACGCACGTCCGCCACCCCCATGCCCGCCACCCCCATACCCTCCCCCACGGCTGCACGCGCAACAGAGAGAAGACTGGGAAGGAGGGGGGGGGGGGGGGGAGGAAGCCGCCCCGCAGCTGCAATGGGGCGGCGCACGGGTCGACGAGGGGGGCGACGCGCGGCTCGACGGGGGGGACGCGCGGGTCCCCTGGGGCGGCGCGACGACCGACGGGGGGGACGCGCGGGTCCCCTGGGGCGGCGCGACGGCTGACGGGGGGGACGCGCGGGTCCCCTGGGGCGGCGCGACGACCGACGGGGGGGGAGCGCGGGTCCCCTGGGGCGGCGCGACGACCAACGGGAGGGGGACGCGCGGGTCTCCTGGGGCAGCGCGACGGCCGACGGGGGGCGACGCCACGGTCGACGGGGGGGGGGGGGGGGGGGGGGGAGGGGGGGGACGCGCGGGTCCCCGGGGTGGCGTGCGAGGCAGGAAACCGCCGCGCGCGCCTGGGGCGCGCGGCGGGCAGGAAACCGCCACGCGCCCCGAGTGCATGGCGGCCAGAAAACCGCCACGCGCCCCGAGCGTGTGGCGGGAAGAAAAAACGTCGCGCGCCACGGGGCGCACGACAGACAGTACAGCAGCGGAAGCAGGTGGGCCCACAGGTCAGGAGCGTAGACGCTCTGATAGCATGTCAAGATAGCAAGCAGAAATGAGAACAGAAAAGAGGGTTTTCACTAGCAGCAGATAGGATACATATAGCGAACCCTAATCGGGTCGTACTCACTATAGAGTACCCCACTGCAGACTAGACAAATAACACATTCTGACAGGTTCTGCCACGACTGTCATATGATTTTGCCACAACTGTCTTCATAGTTCTTCGACTCATCCATCCCTTCAATTTATGTTCTCGGTAATGCGTAACTCTGTTACGATCAGGTGCCAAGTATAATTTGATATCATGACATTCGCTACATTCATTTATGCTATCATGAGATTGAAATGTAATGCTATTATTTCTTAGTATAACACCATGTGATTCTCAGTATTGTCAAAATGTTGGCCCATAGTACGACGAAGCCAGTTGTCCACTTCCATTTTTTTGTCATCTTTTTCCTTGATGCACTTCAGCAACCTAAACTCCTACTACAATACATTTTTTCATTTTCAAATATTGCTCAAAGCAGCCCTTCTTTCATGTTTTCATACCCGTCAACCTGATGAACACCCTCGCATGCATCTCATAATCGACTTCAATTCTCCTCAGCACCCTTCGCAAAAAAAAAAAAATCCGATCTTGAAAACCCACCTTGCACCTTTCAACCCATAGACAGTGTAGAGTGATGGTTGTTCTTGTCGCTCGAGAAAGGCTGTGGTGGAGCCCATTTTTTTTTACAGCAAGTCACCCAACAAAGCCACTGTGCGACGTGGATTGATCATGCGTAGGGCACGTCGAAGCGCCGTGACCACCGGCTGGATTGTCGGGCAGCTGAAGAAGCAGTGCTCATGTGTTTCAGATTCTCCTCGGTGCGGGTAGGCAGGTTTGCTGCTAACGAAAACAAGCCTCTCCCCCACTTGCAGATTCAGGTTGTGGATGCGAAGAAGAACGTCACGTGGACGATGTGGGATGACCAAAGAGTCACAGGTTTTATGACACACTTCCAATCGATGTGGCCATGCCAACTGTTCAACCACATCTCCTGTTTGAGTGAGGTAGCGTCCTTCTTTTTCCAGCACTTCCTCATCTCTTTCAACGAGGAGATCTTCCTGTGCATGAAGGTTGGGGCATGAGCCAGAGACCCTCCTAGGGCAAACGTCACACGCCTTTTTTAGATTGAGTCAGCCGAGCTAGGCACTGGGGCAAGAAGGGTTACTTTCCAGTCAGGCGGGGCAGCTTTAAAGGCCTTTCTTGCTAGCCTCGCTGGGCTCCGTCCACCGAGTTCGTGTGAGAGGGGCTGCACATCCTTGAGAAATCGGGTGCCATTTGTTCCAACACCAATTAAGTCTTATAACCTCAGCTCCCGAAGGCAGTCTGAGCCTTTCTGGCCGCCCACCAGTGTCTTTCTGTTCAGCGGAAGGCGCTTGTTAAAAACGATCCGTTCCTTTGCCACCTCCTCGCGAGCAGATGCTCTCGCCGTTGATGCAAGAGGGGGTTTCATTCATATCTCGCAAGCCGGTTTCCAACGCGGACGTTTCCCACGCCAGTCTTTCAGCAGCTTGTCATGAGCGAGAAAGGAGTCAACGCTGAACGTCATATCCGTGGCTTTGAGCATGATATTCTGTTTGAGCTGGCCGGTTTCCAGAAATAAGCAAGATTTCTGGGTCATGTACCCTCGGTCCACCTTCTAGCTGCATAGTATCGAGCAGGTTGTTGCTCCACAAAATGAAACCCCTCCGCGCCGAAGCCTTGTTTGTCGACTTGTACTTATGAAAGATTTTCATAATCCTCCTCCATATTTCAACAGGCGGTGGGTAGACCTGTGCTTGAAAGGCAATGATTGGCGTGATGTAGCGATTGATTACCGCAACCCTGGCCGTCACTGTAAAATATTTCACTTTTCACTTCAACAGCTCCTTCGCTATGTTCTCCAAATCCCGGTTTCTGGTCAGTAGGGCAGCTCCCGGACGGTGGCACCCACACCCCCAGCAACCGGGCCCACTTGAACCCTCATTTCCATCCCGAGCGTCAGTTTAGGTTCCTCCCAAGTGGTAAGAGTACTGACTTCTCATTGCTGGTAGCCAGGCCTGACATGCTTTTGAATCTGTCCAGCAACTTCGTCGCGCTGACTATTTGGTTTTTCCCTTCAGCATCAAAGTAGAGTCACCCGCATACCTGAGGTATGCCAGTCGTTGCCCCGCTTTGCATCTCTGCTTCCTGTACTAAAGGTTCCACCGCGAAAAGAAACATATACGGGGCGAGCGGGCTATCCTGTCTCATGCCCGATGCTACCTCAAAAGCTTCCCCCATCTTGGTGTTTATCAGAAGTTTCGTGCATGTTCCATTGTGCAAGCCCTCCACCCATCTGACGAAGCGTGAGGGAAAGCACATCGCCCTCAGCACCGAGAAGATAAAACCTTTCGAGACGGAGGCGAAGGCTTTCCTGGAGTCAACCAGTAACAGTCTTTGTCCCCGTTATGAGCTGCTTTAATATCATCTGCAACCAGCCCCACCGCGTTGGAGAGCCTTCTGCCCGGTATAAAACCATATTGCTCCGGAGATATGACTCGGTGGAGTACTCTCTTCATTATGTCTGCAACCACCCGCGTTAGCACTTTGTAAGTAAAGTTTGAAGGTGTGATATGACGATAATTACTCAACTCATCCATTTTTCCCTTCTTATGCTGGAGGATGGTGACTGCTTCTTTAAAGCCTGCAGGGAGCGAAGTCGTGTCAGCAAA